CCTGCAAAATCGCTATCCGCATAACCAATTAGGTCGAAACCTAAGTCATTTGGATACCAAAGACCCAGATTAGGAGTTCCCTTCAGATATCTAAAGATGCATTTTACAGTAATTAGATGGGACTTCTTAGGTTCAGATTGATATCGTCCACACCAACATGTAGAGTACATAATATATGGACGAGTAGCTGTGAGATACAGCAGGGAGCTGATCATTCCTCTATAGACAGTAACATTTACAGACTTTCCATTTGGATCCTTGTTCAGTGAGCGAGGAGGAGCCATTGGATTTTCATAGATGAGTTGTTGGTTAGATTAAATTTCTTCATCATATCCCTGACATACTTATTTTGATTGATAAAGATACATTTATCAGATTTTTTGGACTAAAATTGTAACATCCGAAAAATCTTTTCTTTTTCCCTTCCCCTTCTCCGAGCGTATCGAGAAGTTTCGTCCCGTGTAGAGGTACGCATTCTTTTCTTTTACCCGCGAATTTAGAGCTTTAATTTCATTTAATTTCTTTAAAAAAAATTCCYTCTCATWAATATTTTYTGCCTAGTTATTTTATATAGGCATTTATTTATTTAATTATTTATAGATTAACCTTAGGTGCCTTCCTTTGGATGTTGCAGCCGAGTAGAGGGGTTAAGGGAGTACTTGCCACCTCCTAGGTAGTCCCATCTCCCTGGTGCTATGGATTTAAAATTTGTCTCTTCCYTAGAGGACCCTCTTTTTCCATGGTGGTCTTAACCCTTTAGTTTTAGGGAGGAGTGATGTCTTTAGAAGGAGGAAAAAGATGGAGGCAGAGGAGAGGAAAAACAGAAAMTGGTTCCGTCTCCTTCYCTTGGACTCAAGACCCCAACCCCAAGATTGCTCCACCCCTTTTTCTCCTTGCGTTCCAGTCGTACCCGACAGTAGAAAGTGACGCCGTTCTTCACCCCCGTCTCGTTCACACAGCAGCCGACCAAGCCATTCCCGAGCCACTTCGCACAATCAGCAGCAACAGTAGTCGTAGTCACGCCTCTCGACCTCTGCAGCCTGCAGACAGCAAACAGCAACAACACCTCGGCTGTGCTGTCTCGTTCCTTTTTCCTCGGCAACACTCGGCACGGTCGTGCCTTGGTGACAGCGGTCGATGCAGCCCRGTTTCTCGTCTTCTCTATCGTACATCTGTTTAAGGCCATAAAGACTAGGATCCCTTTAAATTCTACTGTGAGTTCATCCCTTAACTAAATCCTATTGTGCGCTATATATATATATATATATATCTATATATATATATATCCTAAAATTTGTAGATCTTACTTATCTAAATAAAAAAAAAGATGCTTTAGGCAAGGGAGAGTCTAAGCACGTGGATTCCTGTAGATTTACTTGGTGGAACCTAGGCTTGGATTTGTATTAATTATTTGGAGCCACCCACTCACTGTTGTACCCCCCCCCCCCCATGTCAAACTACGGTTTAAGCACATGGATTCCTATGGATTTACTTAGTTGAACCTAGGCTTGGTAATGTATTATTTATTTGGAGCCACTCACTCACTGTTGTACCCCCCCCCCCTTGTCAAACTGCAGGATGAAAATTTTAGCAAAGAAGAGCATTTTAATTCGATTTAAGAATCATGTGTAGGTTTAATGTGAATACATGCCGTTATACTTAAATCATAGTCCGTAAATATCATATTGACTTGTACTAGAGTTTGGGCGCGGAATTTGTTCGGTTTAATCTTGTGAAGGCTGAAATGGGTTGGAGTTAGGCATTGTGAATATTATGCAAACTCCAATTCACCTTCTTATCCCACTCGGAAATAGGCATTGTGATTATTATGTAATTTCCGAGATAAAGAGCTTATGATCACTCGACTACATGACTGGTTTAGGTTGATGTCGAGGGTGTTAAACCTGTAAGTGATGCTCTATAACGTCGGTTTATGACTTACTTAGTGTTCGTCATGACCAACGGTAAATCGGGTCTCCCCCGTTATCTTCGAATGTTTTCTGACCCCTCTATGTGANCAATCAGCAGCAACAGTAGTCGTAGTCACGCCTCTCGACCTCTGCAGCCTGCAGACAGCAAACAGCAACAACACCTCGGCTGTGCTGTCTCGTTCCTTTTTCCTCGRCAACRCTCGGCACGGTCGTGCCTTGGTGACAGCGGTCGATGCAGCCCRGTTTCTCGTCTTCTCTATCGTACATCTGTTTAAGGCCATAAAGACTAGGATCCCTTTAAATTCTACTGTGAGTTCATCCCTTAACTAAATCCTATTGTGCGCTATATATATATATATATATATCTATATATATATATATCCTAAAATTTGTAGATCTTACTTATCTAAATAAAAAAAAAGATGCTTTAGGCAAGGGAGAGTCTAAGCACGTGGATTCCTGTAGATTTACTTGGTGGAACCTAGGCTTGGATTTGTATTAATTATTTGGAGCCACCCACTCACTGTTGTACCCCCCCCCCCCCATGTCAAACTACGGTTTAAGCACATGGATTCCTATGGATTTACTTAGTTGAACCTAGGCTTGGTAATGTATTATTTATTTGGAGCCACTCACTCACTGTTGTACCCCCCCCCCCTTGTCAAACTGCAGGATGAAAATTTTAGCAAAGAAGAGCATTTTAATTCGATTTAAGAATCATGTGTAGGTTTAATGTGAATACATGCCGTTATACTTAAATCATAGTCCGTAAATATCATATTGACTTGTACTAGAGTTTGGGCGCGGAATTTGTTCGGTTTAATCTTGTGAAGGCTGAAATGGGTTGGAGTTAGGCATTGTGAATATTATGCAAACTCCAATTCACCTTCTTATCCCACTCGGAAATAGGCATTGTGATTATTATGTAATTTCCGAGATAAAGAGCTTATGATCACTCGACTACATGACTGGTTTAGGTTGATGTCGAGGGTGTTAAACCTGTAAGTGATGCTCTATAACGTCGGTTTATGACTTACTTAGTGTTCGTCATGACCAACGGTAAATCGGGTCTCCCCCGTTATCTTCGAATGTTTTCTGACCCCTCTATGTGAGTTTTTTTTTCCTTAATTGTCTTACTAACTCACTCGATTTTTATGCCGGTCTATATATATATATATATATATATAAATATATACATATACCCATGTACCTTTAATTGCAAGACTTCTTGATTTTCAATATCTCAATGTTTGAACTCACTAGGCGTAAGCCTAACGCTTCCTCTTATTATGGTTTGTTTATCAGGATCCCTTAGCGGCGGGGCAACCAAGGGGTGAGAGTAGCGTGTTTTGAAAAAGGCTCTTTTGTATTTACAGCCTTCGTTATTTTGTTGAGCGTTACCTTGATGTCGTCTTTTTGGAGTGAGATAAAACACCCATCGTTAATCTGATTATAGAATAATCTAGATTAGTAGGTTGTTATTTATCTTCTCGTTATCCGTTTCTTTTGTGTAAACGCTACACTACTAGAATTTGTTGGGCAATTTCTTTTAAATTGCAAGTTTCCGGTCTTCGTTATTTATTCTCCGGTTATTTTTGTTTTTTTTGTTTTTGTTTTTTTTTATGGGTGTTACAGAGTCTTACCCGGTAAGTGATGGCGACGACTCTTACCATAGTTAACGCTTATCAGGTAAATTGTTATATACGTTGTTGTTTTGCTAGACTCAAATCTTACCTGATAAGTAAGCGATAGAGTTGAATTTAACCGTTAAATGCTTACCGGGTAAGTTTTTAAGTAAACCACCCCTTACTTTTTTATTAATAATGACAAGAATTTACGAAAACTAAAAATTATCACTCACATAACAAAAATGTTGTTGATGGTTCTAAAAAACTATCAAGTGAACAAGAGAAACGTTATATTTAGAAACACCAAATTCAAGTTTCAATATTTATAATATTCAGTATATAAAAGAAATAAATTTATGCAAACATATAATAAATTACGTAAAATTGTCAATGTGACATCTAAAACGTTGTATATCTTATAAAAGTTTAAATATTAATTTATTTATAACCAACTAGAAGGATACTCGCATAATATAGCGAGATACATCTTGATTTTAATATTTTATTTTATTTTATTCTATATTTCAGTCTATTTTATAGTATTGTCTTATGTGATTTTGAAAAAACGATTATGTTTTTATCTTTAAATAAAATATATGAAAATATCATAAAATTTTGACAAGAATATATCGACATTAATATTAAATTAACTATTTAAAATTCCTATTTTTTGTGTACTTTTTTAATTCAATTTTTTATTATAATTTAATTTAAGTTCAATAACAAAGTAATTTATATTTGGTTTAATAATATATATATTTTTTAAAGATAATAATTAATCATTTTGTTATAACTCGATAATTATCCTAATTATATTTTAGATAATTATCCTAATTATATTTTAGATTTTTTATATTTTAAAATGAGATGTTTATCATCTATTTGATTATGTTTATCCGTAGTTAGTTATACGAATTCAAATACGGAGGTTTAATAAGTTGTAGTTATGCATAATTTACTTGTAATCTTAAATTTTAAGTAATATGCATCAATATACAGTACTTCATGCATAGAATATATATGATTTTTAAAAGTTTTTGTCATATGTTTTATAATATAATATAAATATCATGTTTTATGGTTCTTCCAAATATATCTATGTTTTTTGTTTTTTTATATTTAATGAGTGTATATATATTAAATTATTAATTTCGTCTTTTTGACCCCGTGTCATGGTTTTCATGAAATAAATTAAATTATTAAAAAAATATTGTGTTGTAATTGGTTTCTTTTTGAATTTATCTCTTCTATTAATGATCGTTATGTTTTCTGTTAACTCCAATAACATGAGGGGCATTTTAGACATTTTTATTGTTGTAGGCATCTTCGAGCATAGGAAAACTATACGTTGGAACAGATGATAATTCTCTGATATATATACCAAATAAGTGGCATCCAAACATATTATATTATTTTTAATAAAATATAATTATTAATTTACAACAAAAATGTGGTGGCATCTTATTCTCACAAATCTACCAAATCTAGCAAGGGTTACTAGGAGATATAAGAATCGAGTCTATAGAAAGACCACCCTTCGTGTGAGTGCAATCGATCTGTGTCAAAGAAAACTTCACCTTCGTGGGTGTGTTCGATTCATCGACGGTGAAGTCTCCGACTCGGTGGTAATCCCACTTCCCGATCGTCTCCAAGAACCTCTTGGAAACAGTTTGCTGACCGGTGGCCGTCGTCAGCTTAAACTCGACGGGTTTCACGTCCCATCCATGGACGTCCGCTGTGGTACACACCTGCCGTCCATGTCGTTTTATGACTTTCCCTAGCCGGAGTTTGAATGACAATGAATAAGTCCCGGCCGGGAACTGGAACTCAACGTCGCCGTCTACGTCCAGCCACCAGGTCTGTTTAAGGTATGCAACTGTAGGGAATCTGGCAAAGCAATGATTTAAAAACATGGAAACCAATCTTCATGAAGAAAGAAACGTAGAAAAGTGGAAGGAAGTTTTACCTTGATTCATCGGAAGGAATATGATTCCAGTATCTCCGATCATCGATTCCGGTGATTGTTAATGCCTTTGAAGAAATTGAGACACACACACCTCCCGTGATCTTGTCCACCCAATATTCCTGAAACAAAAAATGTTAAAATCTCACCTCCAAACCTTAATTTACATTGAATCACTAGTCTACTAAAATTAAAAAGTAGAGAGAAATGAAACCTTATTGCCGGCGTCGAAGGATACAGGTCGAGTCAACCTTGCAAAAATCTCCTTAACGCCCAAAGTTTTCTTATCATTAACAAATGATTTTCCAAGGAGGTAGTGATAATTAGAAGGCAATTTGGAGATCCAGATGAAATCGGCGGAGGAAGCTGCTCGAAATGTCCGGTTGATTCGAGCCAATTTGCAGATCTCAGGCGGTTCCATGTAAGATAAAACGAGAGCTAGACAGGATTCCGGTATGTCGCCGAGGTTGAGCTTTGATGGATTCTCCGATCCTTCTGTGATCTTGGAGGTCAATAATGACGTATTAGCACCCATGCTTTTGTTGTATAGAGGGAAAGTAGGGGAGCGGTAGGGTTACAGCATGGTGGTTTTGATGGCGGTTGTTTGGTGGAAATCGGAAGATTTTACCGGGAGAAAGGTGGCGGCGCGTGTGTGTGTATGTGAGAGAGAGAGAGAGAGTTGACTATGTGGATTTCAGGTGGATGAAAAGGCAGAGTGAGGTGTGCTTTATCCATTTACATTAGACTAATAGAGTAATACATGGATTTTTTTGAATTATTTTCTAATATATATAAAATTGGGTTTCGATGAGAAGGAAAGTTATGTTGAGAAACTTAGGTGGCGTTTGGTTCGCAGAATGTTTTTGGATGGAATGGAATCTGTTAAAGGAATTTGACTTTGAAGGAATTGGAATGAAATGTTGTCAGGTTTGACCACCTGTTTGGTTGGCAGACTTTGGAATGGAATCTGTTAAGGAATTGGAATCTTTCTGTTTGGTTCACATAATGTAGCTTTAGAATTGGAATAAAATTTTGCTAAATGACCAAAATGCCCTTTTTGACAATTTTAATTTTTTTAAAACTAAAAATACTTCAAAAAATAATTATTTAATATGCACAACCCAAATATAATCATAAGCTAAATCGACGGTGGTCGACGATGGTTCTCATCGGTGGTGGTCYACAGTGGTTCAGATGGTGGTGGTCCGTAGTGATTCAGATCGATGGTGGTCCATAGTGGTTCAGATGGAGGTGGTCAGCAGTGGTGGTCAGCGTGGTTTAGA